TTTTTTTAGGCAGTAGTTGACATTGCAAAAAATATTATTAGCGACAGTCTAAAACGTCACAAAAAAATAGAATTCAATCAATAATGTATTCGTGATAGTTTAAACCGTTGCTAAAGAATTGAACTAATATGTATATGTGTGACGACCCCACCACGTATAATAGTTAGCACTTAATTAATTAAGGAGATTTAAATTTTAATTGCCAATTATTCTAATTTAATATGGGATTTGTGAAAATTATGGAGACTAATTCGTATATGATTCTATTGAGGATTTATTTTGAAATTAAAAGCCTAAGTGGCTCAAGATAGTACAAATGGTGAATTGAATTATTTTAATTTTGAGTGTCGGATCATATGGAATAAAATTGAGATTCGATTAAGTGGGTCCGAATTGGAGTTGATTAAGTTGTGAGGATTGGGAATTAAAATTATTATGAATTAAATTTATTTATCAGGTGTTCAATTGAATATGTAATTTATTGATGAAGATTTTGAAGTCTAATATGAAATTGAAGTCCTTAATGATTTAAGAAACCATAATTGAGGATGAAAATAAGTTTAATTTAATATTTGGAGCCTTGTGGGAGTTTGATTAAAAATCTTACTCAGATTGATAAATTTAATATAATTAACTAGGCTCTAATGGAAGTCAAATTAGACTAATTAATTATGTGGGACTTGTGATTAGGTATGATTAATTTAATTATGTGTTAATCGAGATTTATTAAGTATAAGTGTTATTTAATTAAATTAATCTTAATCATAAATTAAATTATAGATGATTTAGAATTTGAGGATATGTGGGTGTGTGTGTGTGAAGAAATCTAAGTGTGCGCATGTGAGTGTTGTGTTGGAGTTCAAAGAAATGTGCAAGTATGTGCACGTGTTACAAGAAGTGAGAGTGTGTATATATGTGTCTTGTGCTAAGCCTTTTTGTCAAAAAGAGAGGGTTTGGCTTGTGAAGGGTGCTCGTGAGCTTAGAAAAAGAGAGAGCTCAAAGAGTGTAGAGAGAGAAACCATATTTGGGTGAAAGATTGGAAGAAAGAAGAGCAATTGTAAGAGGAGCTCAAGAAATTCTGCAAAATCAAAATCATAGGTAAGGATTCTAAGTTTAATTTAAAAGATTAATCTCCCTACACCTTGAAATTAAGAAAGTTTTGAAGTTATGTTCATGGATTAAGAAAGCTTTAGAATCAATATCATGTAATTAAAAAGAAATAGCAAGAAAATGAAGAAAAATTGAGTTGGGTGTAAGATTATGGAAATAAACATAGAAATTGATTATTTTGGTTTGAGTTGAATATCTTGCATGAATTTGGGCCTCATTTTTTTATATGCATGTAATTTGGAAGAATTAAAGAATAAATATGGAAATAATTGTAGGAATTCTTCAAATTGAACTTGGGTTTGTGAACCTTGATATATATATGAGATGAATATTTGCATGCACTATGAGTTTTGAAAGGATTTGAGCCATGCAAGTTTATTATACATTTGATTTTGAAGAAAAGTTTGGAAACCATGAGTTCATGAAAATATGGATTTTGATTTTCATGTAATGTAATTTAAGAATTTTATTTAATTAAAACAAATTTTGGAATATATTAAATTAGTTAGTTTTATTTGAATTACACACATTCAATGTTTGCTAGGAAATTGACAAGAAAATGAAGAATTGGAGCCAAGATCAAGTTTATGAAGTTAAATTAGAAATTAATTACTTTGGGTTTAATTTGGAAAGTTATTGTTAAATTAAACTCCATAAATTACATGCAATGAAGATTTATTGAAGATTGATCATGGTTCATAATTATTTTTATATTTTGATGAAATTTTTGCGTGAGTTTTGAACATGAAATTGGGTTTTAAAAGCTTAATTTATGTTTTAGAATTTATGAATTTGAAATTGGATTTGATAGGAAGAAAACGAGTTAAATCTAAAATTGGACAAATGAAGGAATAAATTATAATTTGATGATCTTAATTTGAATCTCATATATGTAGATATTTTTCTAAAAGCCTTATAGCTTGGCTTTCATATTTTGTAAGAAAAATGAAGAAAAGTTTTGAATCATTGTATTCATGAAGTTATAGCTTTAATCGTGACAAATTAAGGAGGGTTTTGCATTAAGATTTAGAAATTAGTTATGTGCTCATATTTATTAATGACATTACATGTTTAAATATGCATGAATCTAAGTTTTGAAATGAAATTTGGGAGCTAATATTTAGTTTTGGAACTCAGCAAATTTACAGGCTGCTCAAGCGACCAATCGGTGGCTCGAGCAAACATTTTGAGCTTCCAATATTTTTACAAATGGTTAGGGAATAAGTCATTGATTTAGGGCTAGTTTGGCATATTTGAAAAAAGTCAAAAAGTCACTATCTATTTAAGTCACATCATCTTATTTAAGTCACATCACCTCTCTAACATATCACTTCGAACCCAACCCAAACCCAACCCATATTTTATAAAAAGTCAAAAAGTACACTTATTTAGATCATCCCAAACAACCCCTTAATAATAATTGATTAAGATGCCAAGTTAGAAATCAGCCTATTGAAAAATGACATAGTAATAAAAGAATATGTGAAATAAAAATATGGTTCATTGAATATGAAAGAAGAATAAAGGTTGAGACCCCCTTTGGGGGTTACCCCCTTGACCCCCTTTAGCTTTGATTAGTCAATTTTTTCTTTTTCTTTTTTTTTTTCTTCTCACCCAATCCACAACCTCCATGTGTGTGAGGGGGTTGTGGGGGTGGGTGTTTTAAGGGGGCTTAAATCAATGCCCAAGAAAGAATAAGCGTAGTATAACTTCAGACTACTTAGACAGAAAAAGACAAGAAAAGTCAAGTTTGATCAAGAAATTGATACTGTGTTTCAATGTGTGTATGTTATGTGTTTGTGAAGGGCACGCGCTATTGTCTGCCTGATTTATCTGATCTATCCAATCTGTCTGATCTGCTTCTGTAGCTATTTGTGAGTAATAACCCTGTAAAGCTATGTTTGATTATAAGTATTTTCTGGCTGAAATGATATGATCTGTTTTCTGAAATCCTATTTTGTGAATCATGAATGAATGTCTATTTTCTGAAATGTATTTGTGGCATCCTCAGTTCACATGGCCCTCGCCCGGGGGTAACAATACCGTAGCCAATATGCACGTGGCCCTTGCCTAGGGGTAACAATACCGTGGCTTATATTCACGTGGTCCTTGCCCGGGGGTAACAATACCGAGACCTATATTCACGTGGCCCTCGCCTGGGGGTAACAATACCATGGCTACTTACACGCAAGATATGGACCTTTATGGTCGTCAGTACCGACTACACATGTGGGTCTCAAGACTAAGTTGATATGATAGCTAATGGGTGTACCACGTATGATCTTATGCAATATCTGAATATGAATATGAATATGAACATGTATATGAATCTCATTCTAATTTGAAATCTGAATATGCATAGGACTCTATTTCTGATAAGAATCTGTTTTTAATATAAACTCTAATTTCTAACTCTGTGATGGACATCATTCATTAAAACCCTTTACCTTGTTATTATTCACTGGGCTCCAGCTCACTGTAATATTTATTTATGTAGGTGATCAGGCGAGTAATCAGGCTTAGAGGCGTCTGCTTGGAATCTATTTTTGTCAGCCAACCTATGTACCTCCCGTAAAGGTTCCTGATATGTCAAATGGTTATGACTATGTGATTAAAGTTCAAGTTTTGTTTTTCTTGTTTGTTTAAACAAGTCTTTGTTTATTTTGTAAATAGAGCTAAATCCTTTTTTGTCTTATCTGTATATATATGATGACGTACGGAGGATGTGTAGATATGTATATAAAGGTTTAAAATTTTTCTATCTCATATAAATCTGCACAGCTCAATGGATGTTGTATATTTGTTATTTGCTTCCGCTATCCCCTAATATTATGTTAATCTGTCTCAGAGGCCGTCAGTAATCCCAAGATTATTGGCTAGTTATGATACTAAACCCATAGGGGCGGGTTTAGGTTGTGACAATATGCAACAAGTTAATCTGTCACTAATAAAATACAAAAAAATGGTGATTACATTAGCGACAATTTATTGTTGTCAGAAAAAAAAATTATTTTCATAAAATAAATATATATTTTATTAATTCATTCCTTAAACAAACCCAACCAAACCAAACCAAACCAAACCAAACTAAGAGTTAAGTCCTATCAAATAGAGTTGGTTACATGAATCCTTCTCCACGCAGCTCTATCAAAGGCTATTTCATTCGTCAAATTAAGTAGAGTCATATCTCTATCTACAACGCTAACTAACGTTAATCTAGGCCACCCGATCCCTTAACACTTTCATCTACCGTCACTGCATCGCATCTCTTCACTACTGCCTCTGTTGGTCTCCGTTGAATATGATCAAACCATCTCAAACGATTCTCTCTTAATTTGTCTTCTATCGATGCTACTCATACCCATTCTCGAATACACTCATTCGTAATTCTATCTTGTCCAGTCTTGCCACACACATCCATTCACATTTACAAAATCATATATACGAATAATATATATGTACCCTGTAACGATATAGTGTTTACCAAACATTCTTTACAAAAATATAGAAAACATCATCCAACTATACTAATAATTTTTGATAATTCAAAACTCAAATTTGTATCTAAAACAAAACCAAAGTATCGACAGTACAAATAAAAAAACATATATATTAAAAGCTTGTTTTAGTATTAACAATAAGCTCCAATATCAATATGCGAAGATATCATCACGTACTCAAAATGATAACATTAGCAAAAGAAACAAAAAAAATAAAATACTTATTTACAATGTAATTAATTTCAAACTTACAAAAAAATGTAAAACATTTTATATTTATTTCAAAAATAAATAAATAAATAAGATTATAACATATGCATAAAACAAGCGCCACGTAATGTATCTTCCAATAACTTTTCCAATAGTTCTTAGACCTTGGGATGGTGTTTCCAAATGAGCATTTGGTTTTTTTTTTTTGCTTTTAAGATAAAGACTATGCAATATTTGGGCCCAATTGGAACTCCATCAATTTCACACAACAGATCATCACTAATAAGAAGTCCCTACGTCAATTGGACTGTTGGTATACGTGAAATATCCAAAGAAACTTTAATTGCATCCTACAATAATGATAATACTATTAAAATCAAATATTGATTGAACACATTCCGCTATAATCTAACAATAATCAAATAAACACAAAATAAGAAATTTAGCCAAATAATTGTGCTTAAACACAGATACAGCAACCCCTAATAGTTCATGCTAGTAGACATGAAACATATATGAGATTAACAACAATAAAAAGGCAATATAGGTTACACAAAACACAGAACAAAAAATCAATGTCAAGAGACAGAGTCCCATCTTTTCTGACAAGTCATTTGTACCTAGTTAGTCATGTGTGTCAAGTTTCGTTGACATCTGACGTCGTTTGAGCATTTTAGTGTGAACCGGTTCAAAAAAAAGTTTCTAAAGGATATGTTTTCACAAACAGGAATTAGGCTCTAGATTCAAAACCTGGAATTGGTTTTAAATCCCGTCTTTTCCTACAAGTCATTTGTGCCTAGTTAGCCGTGTGTGTTAAGTTTCGTTAACATCCAACGACGTTTGACCATTTTAGTGTGTCAACTGGTTCAGAAAAGGGTTTTTAAAAGACAAGTTTTTACAAATGAAAATTAGGCTCTAGATTCAAAACCGAAAATCAGTTTCAAGTTCCGTCTTTTCTTACAAGTCATTTGTGCCCAGCAAGTCGTGTGTGTCAAGTTTCGTTGACATCTAACTCAATTTGACAATTTTAGTGTGTCGACCCGTTCGAAAAAAAAAAATTCTAAAGGACAAATTTTCACAAACAGAAATTACGCTCTAGATTCAAAACCGAGCATCGGTTTTGAATCCCGTCGTTTCCTATAGGTCATTTGTGCCTAGTTAGCTATGTGTGTCAAGTTTTGTTGACATCCGATACCGTTTGAGCATTTTAGTGTCAACAGATTCAGAAAAAGAGTTTTAAAATGACAAGTTTTCAGAAACGGAAATTAGGCTCTAGATTCAAAACCAGGAATCGGTTTCTAGTCCCGTCTTTTCCTACAAGTCATTTGTGCCTAGTTAGTCGAGTATGTTAAGTTTTGTTGACTATTATCACTTCTATTTATGGAAAGTAGATGAGTTATATTGGCTAAGATTTGGATTTCATCAAGTTACTTATCAAAAAAATAATAGAGTTCATGAAGTTTTTTCTCATTAATACGTCGAAACTCGACTTCATACAAAAACTATTGGGAGATCAAAAAGGCCCTAAAACAAAAAATGAGCTCACCTATGGAATCTACAAGAAGAAAAGAGGATGCAGGAAAAAAAAAAATTCATTTACACCAGAAATGATAACTATGCTAAAGAACTACGTTAAGCTTTTAACTCCTTAACATAGTCTCTTTAAAAGTACGTCTATTCATTTCTCTCTCCCCATGCACCACATAATACATAAAGCTGCCACAATCCAAGCTTTCTTCTTTCTCCCCCCCAAACACGACAGCATCAAGTCCTAAAATTCAGCAAGCAAGCAGGGAGAGAATGCCATTTCCCTACTTAGATGCCCTTACTTCACCCATAAACCACTAAATCACATCCAGTCTACAAACAAGTTTTACCATCAGGACCAGATTAAGTTGTTGAAATGCTCCTGCACAAAGTTTTCAACACAAGCTGTAAGGATAACTTTTCGGACAGGCATGATTTCTTCAAGCAATCAACTATGAGAATTTGCATCAACTATTAAACAAAACTCTAACCAGAAAACAATAAAGAAATTATAGGGCACTGTACTATTAATTCATATGGCACAAACTACAAAGGCTAATCCAATTGGAAAACTGATTGTTGAGCACAAAGCCTAAGCTTCAATACTAACCAAACAGATAATTGCAAAATCCAAAGAATTAAACAAAACCCTAAACCCCAATTGCAGGAATTGAAGCAAAATACATGAGACCCAGCAAGCTTCTCAAACTTCTTGACCCAATCCTCCATCATAGCATCCTTCCTGAAATCCTCTGCACCGGGTTTCAATCATAGAGGTTTTAGAAAAGATTGAAACTACTATAGAACATTTTGCCTTGTAAAGTAGTTGACAAGCTCTTTAAAGCCTCCAATCAAACTGAAGAATTTTTTTGATTTTACACAGTAACACAAAGCCTCCACTTCGGGTAGAGATTTTAAAAGTTTCCACTCAGATTGATAACTTTAGATTTTTGACAAATCCAATACCCAGTGTGGAGGCTTTAATGTTGATCTGGAAAAATTTTCATTTACCTCAAACATAAAGTTCCTAACTTTCCTAAGACCTTTGTTGGTTTCTTGAATTTCAATGTGGGTTATTCATGGGATACCCATCTTAATTGGTTAGAAAAAGTATTTATGTTCTTAACATGTCTAGAGAGATGGTATTGATTGAAGTGGGGCATCATCGGAAGATGTTAGCCTCCAGGACTGTCATCCATGACAACAGACCATAAACAATCACCCCATGAGCTGAGCTCTAAACCCACACCTGCAAAGCTTTAAAGAGACTCGCTCCATGAATATAGCAATTTGACTTCTCCAATTGATGAAGTACTGAAGGAGTTGAATACCACAAGACTACAAAGCCATGTATGCCAAAGAGAAAGAGGTCATTAGTTGCAATAAAATACAGGGACTTCAAATGTAGATGGCAATTTCTCAATATCTTTCCACAGGAATATCATACAAAAGCAGCACAATATATATTACACAACTAAAAAGTAAAGAATAGATTAGATTTAAAGGTGCAACAATAAAGCTGCATCAGATCCTGCAGAGCTCAATCACTTTCAACATTCCCATGAAGTGTCATCACAACCATCAAAATAACAAAATGCTCCCTTGGAATTTGAACCACAACATTAGTAAGTAGTCCTGACTCCTGAAGAACCTAAAATAAGCAAACAATTACGTCCATATACCAAGACCAAGAAACAAAACAGTTAAACAATAGTTCAGGCCTAATCTGCAATTCCAAAAGGAGTCATATTAACAAGATACCCCATATCCAGCAATGCACAAGTTCAACAAAAAATGTCACTTGTTCAGATAAAAGTAAAACCAGAAGGCAGAATATTAACCAATAACCACTATCAGTGTTTCTATATCAGCTAGACATTCAATCATATGATAGTTGAAAGAGATATACATCTGTATTCCACAAAATAGTTAGTCCAAAAAGAACTTCTAGGAAACCAAGAGATTAAATAATTAACTAAAATAGTTACATTTTTATTGCCAACAAAACTCAGCAAGAGCGCCAAGTACTCTGGTGCAACATGTTCTTTACTTGATTAGCCCTCTTGTATGCATATCAAGTCCCAGAAAGGCAATATGACCAGAGGCAACTCCATAATCCAGCGCTGGCTCGGCTTCTATGTGTCACTGAATTAAACTACTACACTCCTGTACCTGTATTGTCCAGATTCAACCCACTGCCTTCATATTCTGAAACACCATTTGTAGCATATGTCTGTGCAGCAGAAAACCTATCCCCCCCCCTCTCTCTCTCTCTGTCTCTCCCCCAATCTTTGTTCTCCTTACAAATCAAGTGACCTCACTTTCTTTCTCTCATTCTCTTTTACTGATATCTATTCCATTCTCTTCGTATGAAATCAAAATCCCTCCTCTCCAAATCAGCTCGCTCTCGCTCTCTCTCTCTCTCTACAAATCCAATGTGCGGTCTGATTCAATTTACATGAAGATGAATGACAGTTTGATTCAGAAATTAATATTGAAGTCAAAATGAAATCTTAAGTCATACATTACATCCTTTCCAAATTATATATAAACCATAGGCAGGAATTGCAGCAAGACTTTGACAAAGCCAAAAAAACAAAAATGTAAAACGTTTCTAATAAGCTGCATAAAACAAGGTTATTGAATAATTAATCAGCAAATTGTGAAAAGAAGTTTATTAATTTGGCGGTACTGCTAATAGAGAATGTTAGCATTGCAAGTCATGGATAAGTGAGGGGAGGGGGGATATGAATCACATGTGCCGCTGCTGCCACCATAAGTTGCTAAGTTGCTATTATTATAGTAAATAGTACAAAAGTGGAGGGAGAGGCGGCTAATTTATGTAAAAGTTGAGCAGGCCGGTAGAGCATAAAAAAAGAGAACATGTTATGTGAGGTTAGCTAATAGCCATGATATCTTCCATGACTTGGGAATGGTTTTAAATTAATTATTTTGGTTTAAAAATCAAGTACAAATCAAATCATCTTTTTGTATGAATCGAATCATGTGATTATTTGGTATTTTATAGTGTAACTATGAAATCTCACATAGGCTGTCAAGTATTTTACATTGTGCTCGGCAGCCAACCCTTCTACAATGTTACCTGACTAACTTTTTTTAAAGAGTGGCCTAATTTTTCACATACACAGAGAGAGAGGTTGTTTAATTTTTGGGTCCACCTTCTTTAGAGAGAGTGACAGAGAGCGAGGTGGGAGTTGGTTCAACTTTTGCAACCACCTTTTTTGGACTTCTGAAGGCCAAATAGAGAAGAAACCATGAAGCAGAAGAGACAGCAAGTATAGAGTACAGGTTGAATTTTGGAGCGTCTTCTTTTGGACTTTCTGAAGAGACGAACAAGAGACTAAAGTGCCAAACATTGGATTCTCATCATTGTGTCAAGTTCTATTCTAGATATGGAAGTTCGTCATCATCATAAAGAACGGTGATTCAGAATTGAACAATATGATAGAAATTAATTAAAAATAAAATAAAATTGTGTAATGAAACTCCCAATTCTCCTGGATAAATTGTGGCCTCTTTGATGAAAATGACAAAATTACATCAAGAAAACTTTAAAAGCTATTTTTTATTTATTTATTACGTCAATCAAGTGACAACTGCCAAGGAGATAAATACTGAGGGAAAAGATTGAGCACCCAAAATAGGATCATAGTGAGGCATGATAAGAGCAAAATTTGTTTCATCACAGTGAAGTTCACATAACGTATGCTATATATATAAGCTATTACGTATGCACCTATACAATCAGATTATCAGAAATATACACATAAATACTTTTTAGAATAAAAAGATAAAACCAATTAGACATGGGCTTGTAGAGAAATGAAAACTTACATGGACCAATCAATCAAAAAATGAAAACAGAGCAAGGACACCAAAATGCACAAAAAAACAGAGCAAGAACACCAGAATGCAAGCCTCTTGACATTTTGCAAAATTAATTTTTAAACTTTGAAATAAAATTAATGTAGCAATGTTATTGGGTGGATGAGGTGGTGCTTATGTATATACCTCAAAATCTGGCTACCTTCAAACCCTATTCATTGGATTTAACTAGAAAAATAGTTTAGATCAAACCTATGTCAATTTTCACACTATTTTATTCTTAATCAAAAATATTCAATCAACTAAATGACCTGTTAATGTCAATAGCTCAAAGATAACTGAAGGAGAAAGAAGAGAAAAAGAGGCGAGGGCAAACGAGGAGCAGAGAATTATACCTGGATGCCGGAGGTGGGAAGTCGCTGCCGCTGCTAGAGAGAGTCTGTGAGGGTTTGAGAGAGTGAGCGACAGATTGTGAGGGTCTGCGCGAGCGAGAGCGAGAGGAAAGAAGAGGGGAGGAGAGGAGGGTTACCTAGATGCCGGTGTTGTTGCCGTTGCGAGAGAGAGAGAGAGAGAGAGAGAGAGAGTGAAATTAGAGTATGTTTGATTTGATTTTCAAAAAGTAGCATTAGAAACTTTTTCCAAAAATTTAAAAATTAAATTGGTGAAATAAATAAAAATAATGAAAAAGGGGGAGAGGAAACAGAAATTAGGGATTAAGTTTTTGCGAAGACTTTTAGGACAGTCGCGAATGAGCAATAATAAAACCTTTTGCGACAGACAAACAAAAGGCATCACAAAAAAAAAAAAAAAAAAAAGCCACAAAATGGAAAAAAAATGTACAATAGGTAACGTACCGTCACGTATAATATTATTTTTTATCACGGTTTTGGATTTTCCGTCCTTAACAATGGTATTTATTTTTGCGACAATCAATTGGCGTTGCAAAAATAATACTTTCGTGACAGTATTTTTTACCGTCTCAAAAGCTTGCTTATTGCGACGATTTTCAAACCGTCGCAAAAAGTTTCATATCTAAAACCTCCTTTTCTAGTAGTGCAAGTTGGTGTTCAACCTTCAAAAAGATTCAAACGAGCATCAACTCATCAGGTAAGAAATACTTTTCAGAAAGTATGCCCATTGCCAGAGAGCTATAGGCCAATAAGCTCACCCTGGAAAAGGTCTAATAGTGAGAAAGGGAAAACAATATACTACTAAAATTATATGGCACCATTACTAATCAATATACCTCTCATGATGATAGCATTCAACCAGCTCACAATCAAAATTTCAGCAAAGACGTTAGATGAATTTTGGAACAAAGAAAATGAGTTACCAATTAGCCTCAGCTTGCAGATAGCACATGCACACACACCCCAATAATGGGTTTCTAATTTCTGCCCTAGAATTGACCATATAATACCTATAAAGATACTATCTTAGGGAAAACCAGGGCCACATTTGGCAATGTGAAGAAACTTCATGACATCATATGGCGTTTCATTACTGAGCCTAACATATTTGATCTAATAAAACATCTTCGACTATATTAGGAAAATTAGAAATGATATGGGTACAGAGATAATGGCTACAGAAGCAGCAAAACCCCTGATAGCTCTAGGAATGGCAATGGACTAGGGCGAGGCCGAGGATCACACTCCCCATCCCCGATCCCCGAAGGTATCACCGTCCTCGTCCCTGTCCCCGTCCCCGCCCCCGCCCCTGCCCCCTAATAGGGATCAAGTTTACCCAACCCCGAAAAATCCCCGAACGCATATATACTTATCGGATTCCATGGTAACATGAGTGAACGTGATAAACTGTGGATTGATCCCTATACTAGACAACTGCATCAACACAGCACACAACAAACAAAGACCACAATCAAATCCCTATCATTACGAAGCCAAAAATTCTCAATACCAAAAAACAAATTCTCAATATCAGTTCGAAACACAACCGTTTGTCTTTCAATTTAGCAAAGAATTCCAAGTTAAAGAAGTGGAATATGAAATTTACCGTGAGGGCCTCCCTCATGCTGATCGGAGCATTAGCGGCCGCCATGGTGGCGAGATCGAACCTCCGAGATCAGAACTCGGATCTACGAGAGAGAAACCGATTGAGAGATTCAAATCATTGAGATCTAAGACAGCGAAGCAAACCTTGAACCCTCTTTGGGAAATAGAGAGAGAAAGTGAGAGATCTAGAGAGAAAGGGAGGGTTACGAAGAGAGAGAGAGAGAGAGAACTGAACCTTCTTCTTCCAGCCTTAGGGAGCAGGGACATCAATGGAGATGACGTCGTCTCTGGTGAGAAAGAGCGAGTGGCGCAACAGCAGCAACCGTGTCGTGTGAGCAAACACAGTTACACAAACGAGAGAAGAGAAGAGAATGCAATTGAACCTAAACCCAAAACACACACACACACACACATATATATAGAGAGAGAGAGAGATAGAGGGGTATAATAGTAATTTCAGTTTGAGTGGAAAACGGGGATGGGGATGGGGTCGGGCTAGGGCCGGGGCGGGGGAACCTATCACCATCACCGGCCCGAAAGTTGTCAGGGATTCATTTTCGAATATCATCCTTAGCCCGTTGGGGGTATTTTTCGAGGAAAAACTGCTCTAATCGGGGTCGGAGGGGGTTCCCGTCGGGTCGGGTTCAAATTGCCATCCCTAAATAGCTTCACTAACCTTACCAACAACTCTGCCCAGAGCATCAAGCTATTCCTCTATGTCTATTGAATGAAACTATCGAATCGGATCAAACTCAGTTTCTCCAAATATGGGAACGTAGCTACATGAAAAGCAATGGAGCACTTCAACAATAGTGGAGTGGAACAATTGAAAATGTTGAAATAGAAGTTCATTTGGCAACTAAATGAGAAATCTATCCATGATTTCCAAATAGAAAACGTGTTTATCTATTTGTTCTTTATTACCAACACAGTATAACTAAATCTAAAAAACACATTATAGTTCAGAAAGTATACCAAATAAAACCAATGGCCCAGTAATTTCCCATGAAACTGTTGAAGAAAATGAGCAATTGAGTATTTATGAAGATTAAAAGCTCAAAACAATAGTATCATAATCAACCACATTTCATAAAACTCAATAAAAACTAATAAACACAAAAAGTAGTAGTAGTTATCATTCTAAACTAATGATCATTATCACATACATTATTAAAAAGATAAAAATTCTATGTCAGATTTCCCAACCAAAACATCAGTTAAAATATTTTAGTCAACCACACTATAATCTACAAAATGCCAAGTCAACTTCATTGCTTCAAGAAACAGAAATACCAAGAAATAGCTTTAGTTTTTTGTTTGTTTTTTTGTTATTAATCTCTTACTCTTATAAATACCCTCATCTTCAATTGATTATAATGTCCCATCATTTAATGAACCTTCAGTCATTAACTACTCAAGAGGTTCACCCAATAACAATGAAAAAAATGATTTCCCACAAGAAGGCAACAGGCCCTTGCTTTTTCATCAAGTTAATACAATCTAAAGACAACACAAAGCTAATGCTAAATTTCTAGTTGTTTAAAGAAGAAATGCTGCTAGAAGAAGAAGAAATAGGACTCAAGTTTAAGAAAAAAATCCTCTCTTAAACAATCTGTTCAAAAGCTAGAACTTTTTTTTTATTATTATTATTAAATCATAAAAAAAAGAAAGGACTTTTGGGTGTAGTGAAAAAGTTATGGGATTAAATGGAGATCACATGTTTCCCATGGGACCTATGGGTAATTTCCCCTAAAAAAAATTATTTTAATTTTCTTTTGGATCAGCAATAAAAGAATTTTATTAAAAAGGAGAAAAGAGAAGTACAAAGAGGACAAAAAGTCCTCAAAAGCAAAAAGCAAAATATCTACAATGGAAAAACAAGAAGTCCTCAAAATTTGTTTATTTCAATTTACTATCCAATTAAGGAAAAACAAGTGGTTTACAAATCAATTGTCACTAACAATTTAAGAAACATATATTGAGATTTTCATCATCAATTTAAGAAATAGAAAGTTTCCATATTGTTGAAAATTCCAAAGATTCTCTAATTAATGGACAAAATTTGAAAGGTATTGTCATATTAAACGAAACCAAACCAAACCAAACCAAGCCTTAAGTCATATTGATAATTAAAATTAAAAAGGAAAAAAAACATTGATGAGAACCAATAATATAACACAAAGATTTTTACATTATAAAAATTCAAAATTTGAGAAAAATAGATTGAAGTTTCATCAATAAAGACCTGACAACGTCTTTGCTTCTATTATATAATGTATTCCCAATTGTCTTGTAGTTCTAGTTCTAGTTTTAAGATGTAAACTATAGCAACTCTTTATCATAAAATATATGCTCTTATTTGTAATCATCTAATCATTTTTATTTTATGTTTTTGGGAAAATATTCATCAAATAATTAGAGTTTATACTCCTCTTTTTGGAATTGGAAATAAAAACTAATTTCCCATTCGTCTATGTTGAAATTTGTAGCAATTAATCACAACATCAACAATAGTCAACGCATTAACTGTATTTTAACTGAACATATTTGTCAATAAACATGGCATTCAAACTACAAAAACTAACAAATTGAAATCAATTCCTAAACAGTAAACAAAAAGCTAACAAAGAGTTGTTCAATACAAATCTAAACAAGATCAAAACCAAAACAAACATGTAAACAAATAGATTAGAACTTACCTCCAATGAGAAAGTTAGGATTTCTTTTCTCAAAGAAGTTGATTTTTCCACCACGGCCGATCAATGATTGGATCAGTTGAGAACCTGAAAATAAAATAAGGATGATTATTCAATTAATACATAGAGATGCGTATATTAATTCATATATATACTTGTATAGAGAGATTTTTAGGAGAAGAAAAATTATCTAAAAAAGGTTAGATAATGTGTAGATATAGAGAGAACGAGATTGAACGAGAGAGAGACAGAGATCAAAAGAGAGATTGAGAGAGAGAGAGAGAGAGAGAGAGAGAGAGTTAGAGATCAAGGGAGCGATTGAGAGATCGAGAGAGACAAAGATTCATACTGGTGTTCTTTAGACGACGAGAGAAAGAGAGCGATGTCAAATCCTAGTGGTTTTAATGCTTGTCTAGGGCAAAACTGGGAATGGAGCAAATAAATAAAAAGAATTAGGAGAAATAAATTAGGCCTTGCATTCCTACGGGCTGAATGAGGTTTAAAGTCACTGACAAATTGGGACCTTTTACTATCAATTACTTTTGTCTCATATTATGCTGTCCCAAATATATTTTTTCCCACGGCTAAATAGGGGACTACAAGAAAATACAGGCAAAAAGTCAATTTTCTAGTAGTGGAGAAAGAGAGAGAGAGAGTACACAAAAACTGAGAATTCATCTGATTCTTGATAATGATCAACAATGAATTAGAGAGAATTGGAGAGAATTCACCAATATCTAGATACTATGTCATGAATCGAAACCCTAAGAGCAACTTTAGAACAAAACGAGCGAGTTTGAGATTTTTGATAGGGGATAGGGATTTTCAACCGTGGTGCTCACTTAGTAGACGGTGGTGGTTGGAGATTGGATCTTCGACGACGGTGGTGATAGTCAAAGATTTTTTTATCAAAATCGCTTCGATGGTAATGGGAGGAATACTGAGAGAGCACGACTTTTCTTTAGTCAACAGCCAACACGTAAAAAAGTCGCTCAGATCCCTTATGACAATGAATCCTACTTTGAATCGTTTAAATGCTAGGTCATTCCCCTCAAGTGACGCGTTGCACCTGCCTCCGGGTGTTTCGAAAAGTGAGCAAGGGGCGGCGCATCGACGCCTGCGTACGATGAAAAATGGGCAAAGGTTCCCGTGTTTTTTTGGACGAGCGTGGGTAAAGAAGCTAGTCCAAGACTATAGCTTTAAAGTAGCCACTTGGAACATAGGAACCTTAACTGGTAATATGATAGAATTGGTAGATGTTATGATTAGAAGGAGAGTTAGTATAGCTTGCATACAAGAAACTAAGTGGACGGGTAAGAAAGCTAGGGAAATTGAGGATACCGATTTTAAACTGTATTATAGTATTAAGGATAAACGTAGGAATGAGGTAGGAATCATAATTGCCAAGGGTCTTATGGAAAATGTAGTAGCTGTCATTAGGAAAGGGGAAAGGATTATGTTAGTTAAACTAATTATTGAAGAGAACATAGTGAACGTTATTAGTGCATTCGCCCTTCAAGTAGGATTAGATGATCAGACTAAGAGGGATTTTTGGGAACAAACAAATGGATGATATCTTACAGGAGATACCAGTACGAGAGAACCTGGTTTTAGGTGAAGATTTTAATGGCCATGTAGGCATAGATAAACTAGTATGAAAGGGTGCATGGTGGATACGATTTTGGTGACAAAAATGAGGCTGGAGAGAGTATCTTAGATTTTACGTTGGCTTCTGACCTGCTGGTGGCCAATACTATATATAATAAAAGGGAGGAGCATTTGATAACCTTTAAGAGTGGGTCAATTAAGAGCCAAATAGATTACTTAGTGAGAAAAGTGGACTGCCTAAAATGCAATGATTGTAAGGTGATTCCTAGAGAGTCTGGCCTCTCAACATAGGATTTTGGTACTAGATTTATGTTTTAGAGGGCAATACCAAGCTAGAAAGGATGGTGGGCGCCGTAGGACGAGATGGTGAGACCTAAAAGGGGATAAACTATAAATATTTAAGAATAAAATGGATAAGGAAGGTACTTGGGACTTGGAAGATGATGCTAACACTATGTGGAACTCGATAGCCAATTGCATGAAGAAAATCTTAAGGGAAGTGCTTGGAGAGTCGAAAGGAACGAGACCTAACTCTAGGGAAACTTAGTGGTGGAAGAGGTTCAAACAGTAGTTAAGGTAAAAAAAGAGTGCTTTAAAAAGTGACAGAATGATAGAACTGAGGAAAACCTTAAGAGCTATAGATTGGCTAATAAGGAGGTCAAGAAAGTAGTAAGAAAGGCTAAGTTGAAGGCTTATGATGACCTATACACTAGACTAGATAGTAAGGAGGGAGAGAAGAAGGTATACAAACTTGCTAGGATACGGGAGAAGAAAACAAGAAAGTTTAATCAAGTTAAATGCATTAAGAGTGAGGATTCTAAGGTATTGGTGAATGATGAAAAGATTAAGGAAAGATGGAAGAATTATTTTGAGAAACTATTAAATGAAGAACATGGAGGTACGGCAATAGGGGAAGAAATAACCAATAATACGATAAAACAAGACTATAGGTTCTATTGCAGGATTAGGAACTTTGAAGTAGAGATTGCACTTAAGAAGATGAAATTTAATAAGGCTTTAGGACCCGATGATATTCTTATTGAAACTTGGAAGTGTTTGGGTAAAAACAGGGTTGCTTAGTTAACTAAGGTTGTTTAGCAAAATTTTGTTAACTAGGAACATGCCAAATGAGTGGAAAAAAAGTATTTTAGTGCCAATCTATAAGAATAAAGGAGCTGTCTAGAATTGCAACAACTATAGAGGAATCAGGCTAATGTGTCATATAATGAATGTGTGGGAGAGGGTGATGGAACCCCGATTGCGAGATATAACAAAGGTGTCAGAGAATCAATTTGGATTTATACCTGGTAGGTCAACAATGGAACCAATCTATCTTTTGAAGAGAGTAATAGAAAAGTATAGAGAAAAGAAAAGAGACATTCATATAATGTTTATCAACTTTGAAAAAGCATATGATAGAGTGCCCCGGAGTATAATATGGTAGGTGTTAGAGAAGAAATGGGTGACAAAAGGTTACATTGATGTGATTAAAGACATGTATGAAGGGGTGGTGACCACTATTAGATCGCCTGCTGGAGAGACAAATGAATTTCCTATCACTGTAGGGTTACACCAAGGATCTACCTGAAGTCCTTATCTTTTTGCTTTAGTTATGAATGAGTTGACGAGAAATATTCAAGATGGCGTGCCATGGTGTATGCTTTTTGTAGACGATATCGTGCTAGTGGATGAGACTGGAGAAGGAGTTAACACAAAGTTGGAGATTTGAAGAAAAGCTCTTGAATCTAAAGGATTCCGGATAAGCAGAACTAAGACAGAGTACATAGAGTGTAAATTTAATAACAGTAACAATGAAATCAGAGAAGAAGTGAAGATTGAGAACCAAGAACTACCTAAGAGTGAACATTTTCATTATTTAGGGTCGATTATCACAACAGCGGGGGAGATTGATGCAGATGTGACCCATAGGATTAAGGCGGGATGGTGTAGGTGGAGAAGTGTGTCTAGGGTACTGTGCGATAAACGAATACCCACTAGACTAAAAGGTAAGTTCTATAGAACGGCTATTAGACCAATGATGTTATATGGGACGGAGTGTTGGGCAACCAAAAAACATGTAGATAAGATGAGTGTGGCTGAGATGAGGATGCTAAGGTTGATGTGTGGCAAGACTAGACAAGACAGAATTATGAATGAGTGTATTCGGGAGTGGGTGGGAGTAACACCGATAA